AAATAACATTGATTTTTGTGTGTTGTAACTCTTTTAAAATTTTAATTTTTTGTCAAAACTGTTGAAAATGCTACGAATTTAGCACACTAAAAGATCACACATTAAAAAATTCAAAATCTTTCTTTGAAACAAGATTCTAAGTTAATTTTCTCAAAATTGTGGCATTTTTTCTCAATATCTAATATTTTACGCTTGTACTCAATTTCTCAAAATTTGAAATAAACATTTTCAATTAAAAAACACAATATTCTAAAGTTCACACAAATCTATAAAATTTTGAAAATAATCTCGATTAAGGTTCTTGTTTTGTCATTTCTTTAAAATCTTTATTTTTTGTCAAAACTGTTTGGCTTTTGTTTACATATCTTTAATATTTTAAGTTCGTACTCAATTTCTCAATGCTATTGTAAAAAGTCAATATTGCAATTTTTTTTTAATTAAATTTTTCAATTTTGATTTAATTTTCTTGTAGATTATGGTGGGCCATAAGTATTTGTTTATCACTGTATTTTTGCGTAACTTTAATCATCCAAACGTACATAAAATGGGAAACTTCTCCAGTAATTGTGAGTTTTGCGACAAAGGAAACGGCCGTTTGGCAAATCCCGTTTCCGGCTGTCACAATTTGTCCCGAGTCCAAAACAAGGGCTTCCGTCTTCAACTACACTTACTACTTGCATAAAAAACAAGACAATGAAGTCCTAAGTGAAGAAGAGTGAGTTTAATTAATTGTAATTAATTGAATTAATTAATTTGGTTCAAGGGAGCGAAAATTCGGCTACTTGTCGTTCATTTGTGACACGAAATTCGACATTGAGTACAAATCCCCGAAATTCGCCGATGAAGAAATGCTGGAATTTTTTGAACAAGTCCAACCGAAATTTCTCGAGGACTCCTTCGACTGTAAATTCCTGGGAATTGCATACAATTGTTCCGAATTATTCGTCCCAATTTTGACCGATGATGGAATTTGCTACACTTTTAACATCGTTGATAGGACGCAACTTTTGAGCGATATAGTGTGAGTCCTAATTTTATTTGGACTTGTTTGAGTACTAATTCCAGGGTTCATTATAAAAACTTCCAAAAAACGCAAGTTTCGCACGACTGGAATTTGACTTTTTCAAAATTTTGATTTCTTCGAAAGATTTGAATTTAATTTTCTTCAAACCTTGGCATTTTTTCTCAATATCTTTAATATTTTACTCTTTTACTCAATATCTTTAATATTTACTCAATTTCTCAAGCTTTCAAACAAACAAGTTCAATTAAAAAACACAATATTCACACAGGCTTTTTTCTATATAAAAAATTCCTAAAATGTTTAAAATAATCTTGATTAATGTTCTTGTTTTGTAAATCCTTTAAAATCTTTATTTTTTGTCAATATTGTTTGGCTTTTGTTTTGACTTTTTCTCTTTAATCTTTAATATCTCAATTAATCTTTAATATTTTAAGTTCGTACTCCATTTCTCAATGCTAATGTAAAAACTCAATATTGGAGTTTTTGTTAAATTAAAATTTTCAATTTTTTTATTACTCTACTTTTGCGTAACTTTAATTATTCAAACGTACAACAAATGTTTTTTTTTAATCTTGATTTCTTTGAAAGATTCTGAATTAATTTTCTTAAAATTTTGACTATTTTTAATATCTTTAATAATATTGAGTTCTTGCTCATTTTCTCAAGCTTGGAAATTAACCATTATAATGTTAGAACTTTTTTTGTTTTAAAAATCTCTAGAATTTTTACAATAATCTTGACTTTAACTTTTTTGATTTCTCTTTTTTAATCTTGAATTTTTTGAAAGGTTTTGAGTTAATGTTCTTATAATTTCGGCATTTGCTTCCTAGGGAGGTAAAAATTTTACTTTCCTCTTCTGTCAAGATTACAGTAAAAATCAGTCCTAATTTTATTTAGACTTGTTTGAGTACTAATTCCAGGGTTCATTATAAAAACTTCCAAAAAACGCAAGTTTGGCACGACTGGAATTTGATTTTTATAAAGATTTGAATTTAATTTTCTTCAAACCTTTTCATTTTTTCTCAATATCTTTAATATTTTACTCTTTTACTCAATATCTTTAATATTTACTCAATTTCTCAAGTTTTCAAACAAACAAGTTCAATTAAAAAACACAATATTCACACAGGCTTTTTTCTATATAAAAAATTCCTCAAATTTTTAAAATAATCTTGATTAATGTTCTTGTTTTGTAAATCCTTTAAAATCTTTATTTTTTTGTCAATATTGTTTCTCTTTTGTTTTGACTTTTTTTGTTTAATCTTTAATATCTTAATTAATCTTTAAAATTTTAAGTTCGTACTCCATTTCTCAATTCTAATGTATAAACTCAATATTGCAAAGTTTTTTTTAAATTAAAATTTTCAATTTTTTTATTACTCTACTTTTGCGTAACTTTAATTATTCAAACGTACAAGAAATGATTTTTTTTAAATCTTGATTTCTTTGAAAGATTCTGAATTAATTTTCTTAAAATTTTGACTCCTTCTCTAGAATTTTTACAATAATCTTGACTGTAACTTTTTTGATTTCTCTTTTTTAATCTTGATTTTTTTTGAAAGGTTTTGAGTTAATGTTCTTATAATTTCGGCATTTACTTCCTAGGGAGGTAAAAATTTTACTTTCCTCTTCTGTCAAGATTACAGTAAAAATCAGTCCTAATTTTATTTGGACTTGTTGGAGTACTAATTCCAGGGTGCATTTGATTTTTACAAAGATTTGAATTTAATTTTCTTCAAACCTTGGCATTTTTTCTCAATATCTTTAATATTTTACTCTTTTACTCAATATCTTTAATATTTACTCAATTTCTCAAGCTTTCAAACAAACAAGTTCAATTAAAAAACACAATATTCACACAGGCTTTTTTCTATATAAAAAATTCCTAAAATTTTTAAAATAATGTTGATTAATGTTCTTGTTTTGTAAATCCTTTAAAATCTTTATTTTTTTGTCAATATTGTTTGGCTTTTGTTTTGACTTTTTTTCTTTAATCTTTAATATCTCAATTAATCTTTAATATTTTAAGTTTGTACTCCATTTCTCAATGCTAATGTAAAAACTCAATATTGCAAAGTTTTTTTTTAATTAAAATTTTTAATTTTTTATTACTCTACTTTTGCGTAACTTTAATTATTCAAACGTATAAAAAATGATTTTTTTAAATCTTGATTTCTTTGAAAGATTCTGAATTAATTTTCTTAAAATTTTGATTCTTTTTAATAACTTTAATAATTTTGAGTTCTTGCTCATTTCTCAAGCTTGGAAATTAACAATAATAATGTTAAAACTTTTTTTTGTTTTAAAAATCTCTTTAACTTTTTTGATTTCTCTTTTTTAATCTTGAATTTTTTGAAAGGTTTTGAGTTAATGTTCTTATCATTTCGGCATTTACTTCCTTGGGAGGTAAAAATTTTACTTTCCTCTTCTGTCAAGATTACAGTAAAAATCATCCTAATTTTATTTGGACTTGTTTGAGTACTAATTCCAGGGTTCATTATAAAAACTTCCAAAAAACGCAAGTTTCGCACGACTGGAATTTGGAACAGGGCTACGCCCCGACGGCTGGGATTGACGCCTACCCTCGAAGGGCCCTCCGGGCCGGGATCCCATACGCCCTTGAGATCAAAATGGCCGTCCACGTGGACGATTTGGACTACACGTGTGGGACTGACGTGAAAGGGTTCAAAGTCCAAATCGCTCATCCTCAAAGGATGCCTCGAGTCAAACAACAGCATTTTATCGTGCCTTTGGAACGCGTGGCCAAAGCCGGGATTGCCCCTGACATGATGGCGACCTCGGTCGAGGTCAAGGAGTACAAACCAAGGAAACGCAACTGTCATTTCCCCTCAGAAAGGGGGTTGAAATATTTTAAAAAATACAGTCAGAATAATTGTGCAATTGAGTGTTGGGCGAATTTTACCATGAGTCGTTGTGGATGTGTCCCGTTTTATGTGCCACGTAAAAAATCCCTTTTTGTGTTTTTTGATATTTTTGGGGGTTTGTAGGGGAGGCGAGTGTGCCCTTGTGTGGGGCCGGGAGTCTGCATTGCCTGGAGGAGGCCCAAAGTAGGTGTTTACTTTGTAGAAAAAATCTTGTATGTACCACTTGTTATTAGAATACCAGTTTCGGGCCAATCTTGAGAAAAAAATCAACGCTTTACAAAATAAAAAAACGCATAGTGATGTCCCCGATTGTCGTTGTTTCCCCATTTGCACTTCTATGTATTACGACGTGGAAAACACCCAAGCCACCTGGGATTGGAGGACGACTTATAAATACAACAAACATAAACGTATCGATATCAACGATAAAAAGTAAGTCCAAAATCTTGATCATTGTCTAAAAATAGTTTCAAGTGGTTTTGGTTCCAGGAAACGCATGTCAATGTTACAAGTTTTTTTCAAAGGAAATCAATTTATTTATTCAGAGAGAAATGAATTGTATGGATCGACCGATTTGTTGGCCAATGTTGGAGGTTTGCTGGGGTTGTTTGTAGGATTTTCAGCGTTGAGTCTTGTTGAGATTGTTTACTATTTGACTTTGAGAATCATTTGCAATATTGTAATGTTTGGGCGGAGAAATTGGTCAGGAACTGCTAACTAAGTTTTTATAAAATAATTTGAATAAAAAGTGGAGCTTGTAATCGTCTTTGATTTTATTTTGTCCAAAATAAATTATTTTTTTGACTTTTCTTGTTTTGTTATCCAATTTTTTTATTCTTTTCCATTTGATTTAAAATTTTGAATTTTCTGAAACAAGGTAAAACTTTTTCAATTTCGGGCAAAGTAACGGTTTTATGACTTTATTGATACATTTTTACATTTTTTATCATATTTTTCCATTATTTATTGATTTTTATTTATATTTAATAATGCGGAATGGTTTTTGTTTTTTTTTTCAGATAATTATTGCTTTTTACTCAGCTTTTTATTAACAGAAACGTCAAAAATTTATTTAGTACTAATTATCTAAATGTAATGTATTTTTTTTATTTGTAATAAAAGAAGTGTTAAAAACAAAATTCCTTGATTTGTGAACAATATAAAAAAAAATAAAAAAATATTGTTGGCCGATGATTTTAAAATTTGGATGTTAATTCTAGACAATTTTTATCAATAATTTTTTATTTTATTTGCCACACAAAAAGCACTTTACTCTGCAGAAAAATAGCGTTTTTGAAAATTTCCAAGGCATAGGTACTTAATTTTTCAAAACTACAATTAATTTTTCAAAACTACAATTAGTCTTTAACCAAGCAGGGCTGAACCCCAAAAAAAATAAAATTTAAATCGAGACTGTTTTTATGTTTCACAAAAGTCATTTCACCTATCCCGGGACACACTGTATAACTTTACTTTTTTTTTTAAGTAGGTACAAATTTAAAAAAATATATTTTAATGTTTTTATTAAAATAAATTAAAACCCCAAGTTTGTTTCTCGTTTCATTGATTTATTTGAGCACTAAGCATAGGGCCTTAGCTAAGTTTCTAAATATAATACAGGGTAGTTCAGAAGTCTGGAAACGATTTTATTCTTACAAAAATATCAATTTTTTTGGCAAATAAATTTATAGGTGTGCAATGACTATAAAAATGCTATTCAAAAAAAATTAATATTAATTAATACTTACGAGATAAACATAGTAACAATTTTTTTTAATGGAAACCTACCACACTTTTTTATAGACAACGAGCTGTGCAAATTTTTATTGTAAACCCCACACTTTTTTGTTAAAAAAATTACTTATAAGAATTAAAGAATTTTTTTTGAGTAGACTACCTGTTTTTTTTTGTAAATAAATTAATAAATGTTTAAAGGTTGTAAAGGAGCGATGCCAAAATATTTTTTATTTTAATTAATCGTTTAAACTTTTGAGATTACCATACTAATATTTTTTTTCTTAAATAAAAACGGTTTATTTATTGTTTTACAATTATATGTTTATGCATTTTATAAATGTAAAAATATTTATTGAAAATGTTACAATTTATGTTAAAAAAATTATAAACTTTATCTGTTGTCAGAACTTTCTTCCACTGGTCAAGGGGTGGTACGTTAAGACGTAAGTAAAACATTTTTTTAACAAAAAAGTGTGAGGCTTACAAATAAAATTGCACAGCAACAATTCTTGTAACAAGCTCGTTGTCTAAAAAAAATTGTGGTAGGTTTCCATTTAAAAAAAAATTGTTACTATGTTTATCTCGCAAGTATAAACAATTAATTAATATTCATTTTTTTTGAATAGCATTTTTATAGCCATTGCACACCCGTAAATTTATTTGCCAAAAAAATTTATAGTTTCGCCAGAATAAAATGGTTTCCGAACTTCTGGACCACCTGTATACAGGGTTTCGTTTTTATTGTTATTTTTATTGTTACAAATTTACAAAGCTGATTTTACTCAAAAACGGAAAGTTGTATCGAAAAATCGCTTTTTTTTGTGAAAAACTATGAAATTATGAATTTTGGCAAGTGGCAAGAATCAACAGCCAAAATAGTTACGCTACTTTTTACCCTAAACCCCCCAGTTTAGGACGCCCCTGAGCAAAAATTTCGACATTTTATCTTTGAATTCGTTTGATTGTATAAAGGACCAAATTTTGTAATTTTATCTACAATGGTTTCTGAAATATTGGAAAAAATCCATTAAAAGATCCCTTTCAAGGGATGTAGCTCCCTTATACAATATTTTTCAATACATGTTTATAGGAAACTTTTATCTTAAAATATTCAATAACCTGTTTAAATTTGTAACAATAAAAACGGAACAGCCTGTATAAAAATATACAATTTTATCCAAAAATCGTATAAAAGCTTAATTAAAATTAATTTTTGCAATAAGCTCAGAAAATCTAATTGGGGCCCGACCAAAGCCCGTACAGCCTGCGATTATACACCACCCTAACCGTGCAGAAATAAATAATTTCAGCCATTGTGATGAGCGAAAATCCTGTAAACAGGCCCAAAAGGCCCCCAAGATTCGAAATCAAGTCTGAAATCCCATACAACTCGTTTCTCTCCATTGTCATAAATTGCTCATCTTTGAAATAAAGTTGCAAGACGGACCAATGCGTCCTGAAATTGACTGATTTTCAGGGGAAAAAATTGATTGATTTTTTACCCATCAAAATCCTCAAGTTTGAACTCGTTATGGACTTTGAAATATTCCTTGAAGTAAAAATCACTGTGAGACGTCTCGACGCTGTATTTCAGATTAGTACACGAAGGTTTGCAGTCACACAAGGACCGGCCTGAAATTTTGTGCTCCAATTCCTTGATTTGCAGCTCACCTGAAATTTTTTTCAGTTTGAGAAACCAAATTTTTTCCTAGTTACTTTCAGCGTTCTCTGTGCACTCGTACGAGTTGGGGCCACAAATCGGAGTACTGTTGTCTCCTAATCAACGAAATTAGCTCAAATTTCAGTTAATTTTTTACGTACTAGGCATATAAAACTTTACACAGCCACATTTCCCGAGAGTGTAGTTCGTCAAACACTCAAGCAAACAGTTGGATTGCGAGTAATGGAGGAAATGCCTCAAAAAACGCTCATTTCGCATGAAACATTTGCGCTTTTCCGGCGGAAATCTCCTCACATTTTCCGAAGTTACAACCAGGACCGGCTCCATGGCCGCCACGACGACTTTATCGAAGGGAATGCGAAAATAATGCTGGGAAACCCTCGGCACGTCCCAGGGATTGTGAATCAAGACCTGGAAAATCCATTAAAATTTCCCGGAGTGGAAACTCACTCTAAATCCTTGCAAAAAATTATTGCAATTGAAATCGGAATCTGACGTGTCATAATTGAAAAAAACCAAAAATGCAGAATCGGCCCCCGATTTAAGAGCCCTCCTAGGGTATGTACGGACCCCAGCTGTAGATTTGTAACCAAACTCCGGGTCAAAATATTTTTCCGAAGTGTTGGCAACCCTGTAATAATCATGAAAATTGTAACTGAAATTCAGAGTGAGACGTGAGTTGGGTTGGTTGTGGTCCATACACGTGATCCCGGAAAATCTCATGGCCCCCTAGGATATTGAACGAGTAACAAATGCCCTCATCGATGAAAATCGGGGTGAAAATCTGGTCACAATTCACCAATTTATTGTCATGGGCGCAAAACGGAAACAAGAAGTTTTCGTTCAATTTCATCTAAAATTTTCCGATTATTTCAGTTTGTTTTAATTAAAATTGTTACTTTGTGGATAATTTCGTAAAATTCGTTGCCGAAATTTTCTTTGGTGCACGTGATATTGTCAGGGGTTTCTGCACACATGGCACTCAAATAATCGAATTTCCGGCGCCTAAAAGCACAAATTAAATTTTTGTTTTACTTTTTTTACATTTTACTCGTCGAGGGTCACACTTTCCTCTTCAACTAGTTTGAAATAAACGCCACTGTAATTGAATTTCTCACGAGAATATTTCGATTCTGGACAAATCGTAACAGCAGGAAACGGCATTTGGTACAATGGAGTGTCCTCAGACGCAAAACTCACAACAACTGGACTTTTATTATACTTGTCCAAGACCTCGTAAATCATGTAGAGACAACCACCCAAACTAATTAACAAAATAATTGTCCAAATTATCCTAAAAATAAACCTTGTGGTGGGATCAGGATCAATATTCGACTTACTTTTCGATTCGTGTCCTTTTTTCGATCACATATCTCAGTCCGTGAATTCCGGTGACTTCCGAAAACTCCCGGAAATATTTCCGCAAATTGTGGCAAAAATCTTTGTCTTTTTCAGTGACGACTCTCGGCGCAATTTCACCCATGACTGATTGAGGAGTATTTTAATGGGAGTAGGAGGTGGGCAAAGACGAGGCCAACAAGGTCAGCATTTTAACATCAAAAAGAAACAAGAAATCGCGAATTACGTAACGAGAAGAGCACTAGACGCCTTCTAAAATTATTGCAATGACGTATTTATTACCCATTGCTCCAACGCGAAAATCGATTTCAGGGTTGCTTGCGTTATTTTCAGGCAAAATATGAAATATTATAAGCGAGAAAGTCGCAAATTTGCTTGATTTTGATTGGATGGTGATACAAATTGAGGCATTTTTTTAAATGTATTTTGTCTTTTGTTTATTTTTTTCGTTTATTCAAATTTATTGATTTTTTATTTGAAAATTTTAAATACAGTTTTGAATTGTTATTTTATTTTTACAGGGTGATTTTTAAAAAACGACAGTCGCTGTAGGATTCTTATTTATAGCCCGTTTCAGATTGATTATGCTAGGCAATGAGTTTTATCATAATTTCAAGATTTTATTAATTTGAAAGAGGTGTTTTGGGGGGTGTGGAAAAACCTTGACACACCCGGTATAATAAGACTTGAAATTTTACCATTAAAAATTTTTCAGGAACATAAAAGGCCGCGAAACATTGTCATTTATTTTTATTTAGGTTTTACCGGTTTTTTAAAATTTCTATACAGGGTGATAAAAAAATGGTAGACGCTACCTCGTGTTATGAGATCATGTTTTTTTTGCAATTCTAATTTATTAGTATTAAAGTCATTTTGGAGAGTCGCAAAACAAAAAATGCTGTAAGGTTTTTTCGGTGCTTTTAATGTAATTATGCTTGATTTTGGATGATTTTCAACAGTTCTCCCGTGTACCCATTTTCTGGTGGTTTATTGATTTTCGAGTATTTTTTGGGAGCATAAAAAATTATGATTTTTGATGTTTTTTGAGAAAACATAAATTTTTAGGATTCTGTCTTGTTTTGTAAGGCGCCAAATATACCTCCTTGATTTGTTGTTGTTTTTCTCTTCCTTTTGCATGCGCCAATTGGTCTGGTCCAGAAATAAAAAGCCATTTTGGGGTGTTTAAAAACAAGGTATTTTGTTAGTTTTTTAGGGCGTCCTTGAAGTAATTTTACATTATTTTGGGAGATTTCAACAGTTTTTTTGAAATAAATACAGTAAATCGTTTCTTAATGCAAAAAATTAATACCTGTACCGACTATTCAGTAAATACAGGGTGTTCCATGTTTTATGGCCGGTGCAAAAATTAATTTTTTAATTGATTAAAAAAGTATTTTGATAGTGTAAACGATAGAGGATTAAATAAATCATTTTAATCTGATGTTTTGATATTGTACAATTTTTTTTTCATATGGCAGTGAGACCTTAAAAATTAAATCATCTCTTGGCCATAAATTACCAGAAATCCCAATTTTCAATATTAAAATGTTAATTAGCGTCTCCGTTTTCATTTAAACTTTATCGGTCTGTGAATACAAGTTTAGAGTAGAAAACTGTAATTTTACAAACATAATAAAATAATTTTTTATTAAATTTTTGCAAACTAATTTGACATATTATTGAGGTTAGTTGTTGTTAATAAGACGGTGAAAATTTGTATATAAAAGTTTTTACTAGAAATTAACAAATTGAAACTTTGGCTTTAAAGATGTTGATATTTTAGGGTGTTAATAAAGAAAATTGAAAGCAATTTAAGATTAGATTTTAATATAATACCTTTTAATAGGAGTCAATGTTAATTATCTGGCGGATTTTTGAAGATGAATTTAAATTTTTATACTTGCGTCATCTACCGACAATAATGCCAGGTAGTAGTAGAAAACTGTAATTTTTTATTATTAAATAATTGATGAAATAATTGATTATTGAATTAATTTGGCGTTTTACTGTAAGAACTATTATTATTTTATCATAAATGAAGTTAGTACTTCTGCAACTACTAAAGAAATTTTCTAACTACCTAATATGAAATATTTGTTAAAATAACAAAGAAACTGCAAAGATAACGGAAATAGTGTTAAAATTTGCCTCACTACCGACAGTATTTTAACAAGAAATATCATTCATTATTTATGTCAATGGTAAAAAAATAGTTTGATCAAAAAGCGTTATCTACCGGTAACAATGCTAGTTCAGAGAAGAGAATTGTAAATTTTAATTTTTTAAATTAATTTTTGCAAATTAGGCGTTTTATTTTGCTTACCTGCTACTAGTTAATAATACGTCAAAATTTTTTGTATAAAATTTCAACTAGGTAGTGACTAAAATTTTAAAATTTTGGTTTTGGGGCCAAATTTAAATGTAACAAATGTTGTTTCAAAATGCGAATTATAATTTGACACCAGTGTTTTGTTTTTTATTTACAGTAAACATTTATTGTTTTTTTATCACTCATGTCGTTTAAAAAAAACCAAAACAACGTAAGATTCCTGACATTTTTATTTGATATTGGAATGTATATCTCACGAAGTGTAATATTTGTCCAAGAATACACTTAATACATGTCATAAAATATATGTTTATGTTCTAACAAAAACTTGTTAAGTTTTCTACAATATCACATTTGCATTTGGAACTTCCAATCGCTTCCTTCCGTACGAATTGTTCACTTTTGAGAAGAAAAGTGTCTAAACTAGAGGGATGACAGTCGGTGTACAATTCGCACTTGACATTCTTGAGCATAACTTAGAGTATTTTGAGGTTCCAACCTCGGTTTAGGTAACTTTGTTCGTGTCATTTCCCGGTATGGAAGTTGCAAACTGTTCACTTTTTGCGGTTGCAACTTCCATATTACGTAGTGTTGGACGCCGAAAACCAAACAAAACGACACTTTCTTACATATCTAGGTACTCTAATATAACAAGTCAAGGTAGTTATGTCATTTCATATAAAATAATTTAAACACAATATATATCTGTTTGTTTAAAAATAAGTGTCTTTTACGTCTATAACTTATCACTATCTATACACGGACACAACACGGAAGCACATTAAATCACATTGGCTTTATCAAGAAAATTACAACCACCCAAACGTAGGCCTAGAACAGATATGCACATTCAGGACCAGTCCCAACTTCAGCGAGAATTCACCATTGCGTTTTCTTGGTGATTTTCGAGGTTTTGCTGAAACATTGAATTGTTGTTCTGCTCGCGATTTGGCTCTTCTGTCGTTTCCAGCTCCACTGTACTGTCATCCTCCACATCTTGAAATCTGCAAAAATCAATCAAAATCACCACAAAAACACATTTCATCAAAACATTACGTGTAGTGTTTCTCCTCGCCTCGCATCTCGCATATCACGTTCGTTAGGGCCATTATGTAGTTTTTGGCTAAGGTTAAAGTCTCGATTTTCGACAGTTTGCGCTCCATTTTTATGTGCGGGATGACTTCTCTCAATTGCTGGAAGAAATTGGTAAAATTATCCCAAGCGCCATCTAGTGGCAGTTTCAATGCGTGAATGCAGCCTTAAGAGCGGTGTGGGAGGGAGTGCAGTTAGGTTTGTTGACTCGGTATTTTGGAAATGAATGCAAATTAATTGAGATATGACCGGTGTATGGTTGTTATCGAGCGAAAATGCGATTTATTTCGACATTTAAAACAACAAAGCGGAAAATTATAGTGATTTTATGGCATTTTGAAACAAAGAATAATTAAATACGTGGCCAAATCTCGAAGATAAAGCAATCAAAAATAAAAAGAAATGTGTGGGGGTATTATAAACTGCCAGAAATTTGAAGAAATATGACAATAATTCATAAATCAGCGAGAGAAAGTAATGGACAAATAGCATTTATTTCATGTTTGACATTTTCATCGCAGCAATAAATAACTTTCTTAATCAATCAAAATCTTTTTTTTGTCAAGTAAGTAATAATCATGGGTAAAAAAACATTGTTATTGCTGTCATTAGCGTTTCCTGGGGATACTAATTCTAGTAAAACATGTAATTAGGGACTTATTTGTTTAAAAACAAAAAGGAAAAGAAAACATTTTTTGTAAAAACGTTAAGTAAAATGTCAATCAGGAGTTAAACTTGACAAAGCTAAACATTTTGTACCTACATGTATACAGGTTGATTGATATAAAACTACTAGATTCAAAAATCATAATTTTAGACATCCTTGATGGAATGATAAGTGTCATTCAAACAATTAAAATTGCTCAAAATTTACGCATTCTTTTTTCCAAGGATGTCCAAAACAAAAAGTTTGTCAAGCTTGCAGTTTTATGAGTCAGCCTGTATATAAAATACTTGAAAATTTATATAAAAATAGACTAATATTTCAAATTTTCAATAAAATTACAAGGGATTATAAGTGTTTTTAATTTTTTAAGCTCAAAATTATTCAAATTTGTATGTCAACAAATTTTCATTGGTAATTTTTGTACCTACCCTTACTAAATAATTGAAAAAAAAAAACATTGACAGGATCATGAATATCATCGACATAAAAATATGTAAAATGTCAAAAAATTAATGTCAAAATTTTTTGACAAATAAATTTTTTTATTTGTCATTTTTTCCATATTTCTGGTATCTTATCTTTCTTGAAATTTTTCATCATGTAAATGTATACAGGGTGTTTCTTTAATGCTAAAAATGGTACCTACCGCATATTCTACATCGAAAAATAACACTACTTTGTCAAGTAAATAATAATCCTATTAAGCTTTGTTACGGATATACAGGCTGATAAAGTTTAATTCTTTTTTTTAAAGTTTCAAATAAAGTTTTGAAATTAAAAACCACTTATTATTTCTAGGCATTTTGAGGCATTGAAAACGCCTATTTTCAGACAATTTGTTTATTTGTACTCTTATCAGTGGCGTGCGTATGGACACGTCACATATTTTTATTTTTACTATCTCGCAATTTTAAGAAAACACTCTGTATTATTAAAGTGTAAATTTGATTTATTCAGACTTTTCAGGTTTTTGGAATTTATTAAACTCGTTCTGTATTTTGTTTTTTTTCAGGGTGCTTCAGTTTTAAAAAGTTTTAATTTATGTACAGGGTGATTCATCTAAAACTACAAACCCAAGCAACTTTAATTCCATTAATTTTTTTTTTAATTCTTTGTCTCTAGAAAATAAAAATTAATATAAATTAAAGTAATACAAAATTGTGATTTGAGAACGTAATTTTGTTTTGTTTTTGATTTTTTTTTGTCAAATTTGCAATTTATGTAAACATTGTTTATTTTTTTTTAATTAAGTATAAAGTTTATAGTTGTAATTCTTAGATCATAACTTTCATAAGAAAAATTGTTTTATAGTGGGTTGTCACATAAAAAAAATAAAAAAAGTTGGAAGTCAAAAACAGAAAAAGAATTCGTAAAATTTTATTCTTGATAAAACATCACATTTTTATAGTACTTTTTCATTTATCAATTAGTTTTTTCAAAAAATAAATAGTTTAAGCAAAAATTGTTTCATACTTTTTATTTACCTGGTATGAATCAGCCTGTATACAAAATTTTTAAAAACAAGTTAAACACTTTAATTATTGAATTTTTTTAACCAAATTACTAACCACTTTATATTGGTATTGAATGTTACTTTTTATCGTCAATTTTGACAATAAATCAAGAAAAATGGAAAATAGTCAAGAGTCAAATACTTTTCTTGGACTATTTACATACATTTTGGATGTCAAAATTAATTGATTTTTGTGGTCAAACCAAAATTTTTTAAATCGATGTTAAAGTAGCTATAATTATTGTAGAATGAAGACTTTTGGAACAACTTTGAGATAAAGTTTCTAAATTTTTGGGCCAAAAACTCATTTTGCTCATTGTTTATTTCACTTCGTTTCGCTAAAAAAAAAGTTATATGTTACATAATCGTAGTTTTTTTGTGATAAAGTGCGATTATTGGGTATTTAAAAGGACGTAAATTGGGCTGTATTAAAGTAAATATTACTTGTTTTTTGTTGATTGCTTTGAAAAGTTGTACTGATAAAAGTGAGTGCTTCTAATTTAAAGAGTAAGCAAGCATAAAGGAATTTTTTCCGACATTTCTGAAACACCGTAATGAGAATCAAGAAGGTCAAAGGTCACACTGCCTTACTTTCTTGAGAAATGAGCAGTTGGAAGCCAATAAAGGCGAAATTTAAAAAAAATTAAGTGAAATTTGTTTGAATGTTGTAATACCTCGAACGCATCGTTGAGTGAATGCATCCTCATTCTTTCCCTCTCATTGCTCTCCAGTCTTCTTAAATTTCTCTCTCGCGCACTGATGCACGACTTCCTTCTCCTCGTCGTCGTCCCGCTCGACGCACTTCCACTCGAAGCACTCCCTACACATCCAAAATCACCACAAATCAATTTTAACCACCCCATTACCTCCATGTTTTCTTCGTTTTCGACCCGTTGCTTCGTCACTACTCGACTCGGTGAGATCGTCCCTCCCGTTCATCGCGTGCTTCCCCAGCTCGATGTCCTCCACCTCCACATCCTCCTCCTCCTGCCAAGGAGTCGACACTTCCAACGACCGCATTCTATCGACCACGTACTGAAAAAATCATCGCGCATATTTAACACCAAATTGAGTTTGGGGGAATTGAAATGCAGAGCGTGGCAAGCCTGATCAAAATTCCCAGACGTTATTCCAACTTAAGTAATTTTCAATCTATATTCCCCCGAGGGAATAATAACTGTCTTGTTTTTGACGAGTTCGTTAATATTTTTTTCAATAAATTTCATTTAGCATCAAACGGCCCCCAAATTCCCCAGAGCTGAACTCTATTGAATTTTCGTAGACACGAGTTTAGAGAAAGTCCATGACGAACCAGGAGCGAAAAAGTGGTCGCCAGACTTGCTCTAACTGTTTATTTCGGTTCGTGAACCTTGTTGAAAAATCGTACCCAAAAAATCACTTGTTCAAAATGTCGTTTCACTTGATAGCACTGTAAAATCCCTCATTTCGGTGAAATTCGTGCGTGCATTCGACAAGATATACCGAGTGAAACTGAACTGAATTATTGGAACGAGTTTTAAAGAATTTTGCGCTCTCCCGTTATATGGTGAATGGCAATGTAAAAATCTAGGTCGGTCAGTTGGTTTGGGAGCTAGCCTCCCCCACTTTCTCACTGTCTGTGGTGTAGAACCATTGTTGAAATGGTTCCTGCTTCTGAACGATCCTTGCAGGTTCATTGTCGACGCGACACGTGGGAAAACCGATCTAAATCCCATTGAATTCGCTTGGAAGCCACCAAATTCTCCAGATTTAAGCCCCATTCAATTTGTTTTGACGAGTATAAAACCGAATCGGCTTAGAACTAAGTTAAGTCAATTGGAGACAAAATAAGCTATTTTTTGGCAACAAATTGTCCAGATCTGAGACCTATTGAATTCCCTTGTAACATACAATTTGGGGTTTAAAATCACGTACCTGATTTTGCACCTCTTAGATTAAGTTTTTGTACCATGAAAATTAATTAATTTAAAAGACAACGAATTTAACCGATCTAAACCTCATTGAATTCGCTTAGAGCCCGATTTCCGACACCAAATTCTCCAGATCTGAGTTCTACTCAATTCGTTTTGACGAGTATTAAACCAAATTTGTATAATTCAAAGACAATTAAGGTTGAACAAACTGAATAAAAAAATAAATCCTAGTTTAAAAATTATGAAAAAATATCATAACCTTTCGATTGCCTTATAAAATTTTTCGAAATTTTCTTTTGTTTTTAAGTTCTACAAAAATTTTTATTTTATTAAATGGCAACCCACTATAAAACCATTTTTCTCATGAAGGATTACAACAATCTACTTTATATGCAATTTTTTCAATTTTTTTTACATAAATTGCAGTTTTCACAAAAAAATCGCATAACTCAAAACAAAACAAAATTTCGTTTTGAAAATATGATCACATTTTTTATATTATAAATAATTGGTTCCATACTTATATTCACCATATATATTAATTTGAATTTTTTTGTAAGTATGTATAATAAAAATAAATTAAATAAAACCTCTATTTTTGGCCATTTTATTTTTTTTATAAAAAAAAACTGTACCTACATAAAAAAAATTGATTTATTTTTGGTGTATTGTACATGAACTACTTATGTAACTGTTTTTTTTTTATGTTATTTGAACGTTAAGTTTTTTTCATAGAAAAAATAAAAACTATTGAATTTTGCAATCCGTTACAAATATTTAAAATCTGTGTACCTAGAACCAAGTTAAACAGATCTAAGCCCTATTAAATTTACTTGCAACATGGTGAAATTGCATGATTTTTAGCACGAAACCCATTTTTGGTACCAAATTGTCCAGATTTGAGGCTTACTGAATTCACTTGGAACATGTTTCTATAATACAACTTGGGCTTTTTTTTGATCGTGACCACCAAAATTATCTTATTTTGCCCCCACTGAATTTTTGCACTACAGAAATTAATTTATTAAGAAAACAACGAATTTAACCGATCTAAACCCCATTGAATTCGCTTCGAATCTGATTTCTGACACCAAATTCTGAAGATTTGAGCCCTATTCAATTCGTTTTTATCATTTGACGAGTATCAAATTTGTACGACTCAAAATTTATGAAAATGGATTCGACACTGATTAAGCAGATCTAAAGCCCTATGAAATTCACTTGGAACATGGAAAAATTGATTGATTTTATGAATTGTATAAATGAAATTTTTAACAGTTGATTTTGCACCTCTTAAATTTTCCTGATCGTAACCACCAAAATCACCTGATTTTGCTACTATTGATTTTACATAAAAATTTATTTATTTAGGTAACAAATTCTTCAGATTTTTGCTTTGACCATCAAAATGTCCCGATTTGAATCTTGTTGATGTGACAAAATCGAAAATTGTGAATATGTGCACCCAAAGTGCTATTTAATTAAATATTTCCTGTGGCTAGTAATAAAGTCAAGGCCTCATCCAGAGCTCATTTAAAAAAATATGTTAAGTAGATTTACAAGCGATTAAATGGTGTAACTGCTGCATAATTTCTCCCGCTGACGTAAGCAAATTTGGTACTACAGAGTGATTAAAAAAATTGTTCTGATTTTTTGTGCAAAAAAATTAAATAAAAATTAATGAAACGTGCGCATCCCGGCCTGAAGGTCGCCTCAGCCACACAAAGCACTCTTTGATTTACAATTTTTTGCGTCCTTGGCTTTCCGCTCAACCATTATGAATTTCACTCGTTTAAATCAAGTGACATTTTTCGTGTCTGCCAACAATAAAAACTAAATTCCCCTAGCTTTAACCTTTTTAACGCATTCGATTATGTAAATAAACATTTTACTTTCAATTACAACTTTCATTTTAATTTTATTTACAACTTATTTAACCTAACCATAGTGCAACAATTCAAGCAATTGCGATCACTTACCATTATGCCATTTACATACTGTCGTAATAAAGGAAACACCTAATTAAAATTGTGTGTGCATATCGTACAAGAAATGTCAAAAGTGACACGTGACATGACGGAAGTCGAGACATTTTTAACGGGATTAGGTGTGGTGGACGCACTGAGGTCGTTGCAAGGCCGAGGAATTGCCAACTTAGGGTTTTTCATTTTGTCCAACCTGACAAAAATTACCAAATTCGACCAAGGCCTTCTACTACTTTTATCACTTCGATTAAAGAAAAAAATTAATATTAATGACATGATAATGACAGCTTATTATCGTGAGACAATATTTAAAAATGCAAATTGGGGCGAAACATAATCACCACCATTGAAATTTTTGGAAGGTTTACAGTTTGAAATGTCATACCAGATAACAGTTTCAAATTTCAAGTATTCATGACGTCTAGTGGAAAAATTGCACAATGCTGCCAATGCCACAGAGTAAAAATGCCCCAGAGTTGGGTTACGTGTCAACCAAATTAGGTCGTGTTATGTGAAAATCCGGTTGAAATGCTGACTTTAATAACCTTGAAGTGGAAATTGTAAACAAATACCATGCGTTCAATTAAATTTCTGATTTGTGAATTGACAAATAAACGTCACAATTTCAGCATTGCCAACTTAATTTCAAAGTCTCAGCCAACTTAGATCAGCCCGGATGTCCCCCCATTATCGGATTAATTTCAGATCAATAAACGAGGGATTTAGAATTATTAAAATTTTAGTGCAGCTGTAAACAAGCGATAATATTTTTATCGATCGTATTCTCACGTTTTATCCTTCATAATTAGTGAAGTAACGTTTGTTATGATTTATTGTAGTGCAAGTCAGCAATAAATAGCACTGTTGAAACTTAAACAAAATTTTTAAGTATGTCGTGAAGAGATTATTGTTATCTAATCTCTTATCCGAGTCTTTTAATAAAACTTCTCCCAACTTCTTTATTAACTCTCAGCCACTTAATTATCTGCGAATTTTAACCTTGACTTTTCAGCCCAATAGTAATATACAAGTCAAACAAAATGGCAGAATGTAAATTGCTAATTAATTTTTAAAAGATAAAAAACTGATCCGGCCATAATAATAAAAGCATCAAGTGTCTCCAACTGTCATCGATAAATATTTGCTCTCTCCAAATAATCAAAACTGATAACAACGCAAAAGAATTAGAATTATGTTAATTGGGCCCGCATTTCCGACCGAAATCGATCGACTTTCACCGCAATTTGTGAAGCTTCTTGAACCACCTGTTGAATTTAAATTTGAGATAAGCCGCGGAGAATTTTTCACCATTTTCACGCAAAATTCAAGTGGGTTTTGTGTACTTTGTTCTGCTGACAAGGCGAGTCGAGAATCTCGCCTAAAGACAACAGGAGAATTTATTTGCAAAATTGGAACGAATTTTTCGTTTCGATAATACAGGGTGTCCCAGCGAGTTGAAAAATGACCTTTAAAGAGTAAAATTTAAAAAAATTATATAGGATATTGGTAAATACTAATCCAAAATTATTTTCAACTATACAGCGTGTTTCAAAAATAAGTTACAATACAAACTTGTGTTTTTTTAAATGAAACACCATATGTTTCTTAGCGTTTTTGGATGTAGATTTTTATGACAATGTTTTTAAGCTAAACTTTTATTGGTCGATTTTGCTTAATTTTAAAAATAAGACGGTTTTTTTGACGAAAACATGCACTTTTTAAAAATTTATTACACATAAACTAAGACATCTACACATATTTTTTTTACTACCACAAAGAAAAAGGTACATGCTATAAGGTTGTAACATTTTTTTAGTGTGTTGCACTTGCAAAGATAAAAAAAATGAAGGTGTTTGTTAAAAGTTCAATAACTTACAAAATTTAAATGGAAGACCCTATTTATTGTTTTTGCATTTAAAAGATTATTAAATTGTCTTTCTAAAATTATTTACTATTAGATGTTTATAATCAATAACTAAAAAGATATTTAACGTTAAACATTAAAAAAAATACTATTCTTTCAGTAGCACCTTACACTTTTTTTAAATTTTTTCGAATTGGTCTTCAAAAATTGATAACTCAACCATTTTTCATTATTGTAAAATCATTATTGGGCATATAAAAGAGAAAGGTTAGATCTTTCCTTTGGTGTATTCGTAGCTGGAAAAATAATTAACAAACCCCCAAAATTTAAGGTTACGCTTGGGAAACTTCAAATTCCCTTAACTCAATTTTTTCAAATGGAAGGCAATAATTTTTTGTGAATAAAAATCATTATTTAACATTTTCGTTTAGTTTTTTAACTTTAGTAACTTTTTCCCTTATTCAACAATTATTACTGTATGTTTCAATCTTTTACTGTCTAAGTTTTAAATAACACTTTTGACTCTCGGTACAAGATGATTCTAAAAAAGAGCAACAAATTGGTCATACGTTCAAGCACCCTGTCTAGGTGTATATAGATACAGGGTGTTTAATTGATAATTGATTTCCCAGATGTTGAAATCTTTTCGGTAATTTGAGTCACCCGGTATATTTTAATATGGGGAGTAAAAAAATTATAGAATATACATCTAAATACAAATTAAATTCCTTTAATCTAAATTTGAATAACTTTGATTTTCTAAAATTGAG